TATTAGTGGTGCAACGCATCATAAAAGTCGTGGTTTGGATTGGATCACGGATCGGATCGGCACAAAAAAAAGGAGTAAATATATAACTTTTAGAGATCCCTGATCACGTTTTTTTTTTGCAGCCGATACTAAAATGCCAACATATCCCTTTGTTGTTTGAGTAGACAGCTGGTCTACAAGGCTCCAGACTATTTTCTTTTGCCACCGTCCCAAAAATCATTTCAACCGCTCTGAAGTCAGTTAAACCATCAACAATTCTAAATGTTATCCTTTTACTTTATAATAGTCATCTATAGTGTTTTTATTCTACATAAAAACACACAATTGAAATGATAAGGAAATAAGCGATTGTATTTCTATTGATTTAAAACAAATCTAGTCATTTGTAGTTTTAATGATGTATAACGTTAGGAAGTTAAACAACTCATAATTCATCTCTAATATCTGTGTTGTTGTGAAAACGTCTCTTTCAAACAACTGGATTTATTCAAGTTTATCAACACTACATTTTACAAGATTACGCGTGAACACATCAACATAACGTTATAATTTACCTTCGCCCAATACTCATTTTCACTGAACAGAGCCTGAACGCATCGCAATGTAACCGAACCTTAGCAGAGATCGACGACTAGAAAAGCATGAATGCCGATGTCCTGACTGCATATAGATTTACTGAACATCGGCGGATAACGACCATCAGTAAAACTTTATTTCACACTGTGATGTTTAACGTTAAACTGTGTAAGTAATCGCACCTCACACCGCGAGGGGGGATCCGTACGGATCACGGATCGTCAGTGGTCCATTAACCCACTAATATGTATAGAATAAAATGACTGCATTAGCAATGCTGCATAAACCATTCAAGTGTTCACCGTAATCTTGTGTGTCAGTGCTGCTGCTGTGTCTTTTCTGCTGCTTGTTGCCTCCTTTTGTGAACACCTCCCTTCTAGGAAGTGAGTAAATGAAGGGGACACGATGAAATGAGCTGAACAGTTGTTTGTTTACAGCACCATAAAAGTCTTCATCCATTACAGATGAAATGTCTCATCCCAAACAGGTTATGAATCTTTTTAGCAGGACACTTTGAACTAAACTGCAGCAAGCACAGCTTGATTAGATTCCTACAGTATTTGGATGGCTGGCGAGATGGTGACACTGAATTTAGTGTGCGGTTCATATATTGAGGAAGAGGATGAAGTGCAGGCATTCCAGGTTGGCTCAGTAGGCTACTGAACCTCCAATCAGAGCTCCTCTACTCTTGACCTTGCAGGTTAAGACCCAGAAGAAAGGAGTTCCTATTCTTATAAGGCAGACACCAACTACACCAACCTCTCTCCCTAAACCCATTTCCATGCAACAGCATGGAACTAAAGCAAAGGTAGCTTTACTCAGTCCCTCTCTCTACTACCTTTTAAATATTTAAATAGATAGCTGGGCTGCATCTTCTCTCACGACCTCTAACAATCACGATAATTGAACCTTTTATCTGATCTGGATGTACTGTCAGATTATATTCTTTCTTCTAACAATCTTCTCTTGAAACTAAAGTTTTCGTATTCTTCTAACCACTGCAATCGAGCATGACAGTCCCTCCCAATGCCTGAGATCACATTGGGACTTTCACTTCTTTCATTAACAGGGTGGCAAATCCTTTCTTTTAACCTCACTCTTTCCAGTAAATGGTGTTTCTCTCACTGCAGTGGGAGTTATGATTGTTTTTGTTTTTGCAGGCATCTGAGAAGTCCCCTCAGGAGGATACAGAGAACGACACTAAGAATCCTCAGAAAGGTGAGATGATGGACTTCTCTACACTAACATGTATCACACATACAGCTGGAAATCAAAAGCTCTAATATAATAATTTCTACTTTTTTTTTTTTTTTTGTATTCTTTTCCACAGACAAGGGTCTGCTGGTTGAAGTACGTGTCAACAAGGAGTGGTACACCGGCAAAGTCATTGCTGTTGAGGCGAATAAACAGAGTGTTCGCTGGAAAGTGAAGTTTGACTATGTGCCTAGATCCACCCCTAAAGACAGATGGTGAGATACTTGGTCTGTTTCGCTGCATTCGGGGCACATTTTGTTGACTTTGCCAGATAATTAATATCCTATAATTGTGTTTGTGAAGGGTGTTCAAGGGTAGTGATGAAGTCCGGTTGATGCGGCCGCCATCTCCAATCTCTCAGACACCCGACACCCAGCAGGAGACTGAGAAGGGTCCAGCACCCATGGAGCCCGACACTACTCAACCAGGAACCAGTCGAGAGGTGACCGATAGTCTCGTCACCATGTTGAGGTGAGCTGGTGACGATGGACCGGTGTTGTTAATACACTGTGTAAATGATGACAGCCAGGGCACATTGTTGCATAATGCTGTGGGGTGTTCACTGTGCAATTTGTGCTTCCAGGACAATGTTGGGTTACTTTTTCCCTCCTGCTTTTCAAATCCCAAAGGATGATGTTAACAGCATGACGGCTGAGGAGTTGGTGGCCTTTCCTTTGGTGAGATAAATAATATGTGGTTCAATAGACTGATCCTTAGGTTAGAATAGAAATTTAAAAAACAAAGACAAACAACCAAAAAACACTCTTGAAGGACCAAAATGTTAGTATGATCAATAAATTGAGATGCTGAGTGTTGAAGACGTTGAAAGCAATACAATGATTAGAGAATGGACGACTGTATCTGCCGGGAACTTGGTTGTGCCTGGCAATACTACACATTGGAATATCTAGTAAACTGTTGTGTTGTCCAGAGTATTGAGTGCCAGTGTATTGTGTTTTTCCTTCTCCTTTTTAGAGAGAGTATTTCCAGCAATATGAATCAGGTCTTCAGTCTTTGTGTAACTCGTACCAGAGCAGAGCTGATGCCAGGGCCAAAGCTGTGGAGGAGAAGAGCAACAGCAATGAGGTGAAACTGAAGGAGGCAGACGAGAAACTACAGAAACTACGAACAAACATTGTCGCACTCCTACAAAAAGTACAAGAGGTTCGATTGCTTTATCTGTACTTATTGATGGTCCAGGACACCACAGACAACATATTACCCATCCCCCTTATCTGTCTATCAAATGGACTCTTTGTTATAGAATCATCATTGTTTGCAGTAAGCCATGTTGCTTTTTTCCACTTTTAGGACATTGACATCAACACAGATGACGAGCTTGACGCATACATAGAGGACCTCCTTACCAAGGGGGATTAAAGAAGGCCGAGAAGAGTACGTGCACATTAAACAGACTGGCAGTTTTCATTCCAGCCATTATTTGTTGACGGCTCCCAAAGGACTCCTCTTTATGTGCAGAGTTGGATGTTTAATCAGAATGTCATGGGTATGATTTTTGATTTTGATCTGTCCAGCGTTTAATCTTTTGAGTTTTGCCAGGTTCTCTGGTGTTTCTACATTGTTGGGTAGCTGGTGGGTTTTCTCATTGGTTCTGTTTATACACCTGCTTATATATGTTACTCTTTGTTTAAGACATGCTATCCTGCTTGACCTTTTTAAATACTTTGTGTAGGTCCATTTATATAGTCGGCTAACGCTGTGACAAACTGCAGACTACATTTGTTCCCCTGTTTTGGTCCATTGTCTGGTGAGAATTGGACACACCAAGTGACTGGGCTGTGCTCTGCATTGCAGCCTGTACTAAAACATTAACTTTTATTTTTATACACTAAAAACACATCAGTGTTATAACTATTACCTTCCTCCATCCTGGTCTGAGGAGCAAACCAGGTTCATATTTTATGGTTGGGTGGTGTGCCACGCCCACAAACGAGAACTACTTACTGGGTTTTATCAGTATGATTATTCCCACAGATCCCTCCTGCATTTAAGATACGACTGTTTTGTGTTTATTTTTCGAAGGAAAAAAAATCTCATTCAGATGCAAAAGTTGTGTTTTCATAAGTATTCAGTGCCTGTGTCCTTCCTTTTGAACAGATTTTTAACATGTCATGGAAATGTTTTATTAAACGGTGCATGCGTTCAGTCTGTTTGTTCTGATTAGAGCAAAGGATTCTGTATTTTTGACAAATCTTTACTTGGAACAATAAAACAGGTTCAGCAACACTTTTTGATGAATGTCTGTCATTGCCTGTATATGCTAAACAACTAAATATTGGTTGTGGGACATTTACGACATTTTAAATCGAACAGATTTTATTTTTTATGCTCAGATCTGAAATATATAATTTTAGTTGTTCAATGCAACAGTAATGTTTCTTTTATGAAAACTGTTGACAGTATATGGATGATCCAGAGTAATAGGGACACCGCCTAGCTTGCATGAGTTGAAAATGTTCAATGTTGTGAGCACTATGAACAAATTTCCATTTAACTAAATTGTAAAGGCATAAATCTCAGAAAGACGTCTTAAAAACTGGGAGAAAAACTTTGTGTTGCCAGGCTTTTTATGTTGTATGAGTGAACAGACCCATTTACAAGGAACTGGACTTTTATTTTGAAGGCAAGAGTTTGCAGCTGTGGTGAAAGTAAACAGTGCTGGGCTATCTTCAGGTAAAGTTGCAAACGGTAATCTTCTCTTGCATCCAGGAAAGTCATACGTTTGACATGAGAATTCAATGTTATTAAAGCAATTAGAAATGTAAACTGTCTAAAAGTGATTGTCAATCGTGTAGAAAATTGTTGATTGTTGAGAGTGGGTGCTTTCAGGTTGCAGTGACGTATAACGTTACTCGCAGTTTGAAAAGGGAAGTTAACAGGTTGAGCTGCTCAGGCTGGCTACTTGTTACCTGCATTAACCATTAGACTACAATTAAATCAAACGATACGAAACAACTGCATGAAATGACAGCGGAATGAACTTTGACCCACTTCGGTGATCCCCAGGTTAACTTACTTCTTAGCTCAGTTATGTTGTATTTAAATGCTGCATGGACATTATTAAAGCATGCGTAGTTAACTACAAATAGTATAATTTACTTTTATGTGGTAAGAGTAGTTTTCATTTGAAATAGGTAATTAACCGGGCCTTTTCCGTTATCACAGATTACGTTACTAGTCTACCAGATTGATTATAGTGACGTTAGCTACATATTTCTGAAGGCGCTATGTCATGTGGACATTTCAGCACTTCTTCTTTTGAATAACGTTAGGCAAAATGCCAAAAATATGGCTTCGTAAGAGTAAACAAGTCAATGGGTAAATGCACTCTGATCTTCCTGAAAACAAGTCATTAAATCTCTCCAGCAGTAGAGTTTGTTACTGACCGACTTCTAGGGGTGTAATAGTGTGAACAAAGTCCTGTCAATGGAAGAAATGGCTGTTTATGTTTGAAAATATTCTATTGTAAATATAACCTACTTCAAAGTAACATCACTTGTGGGTGAACAAAACAAACTGCATACTTGTGTTGTTATTAGTATTTAGTGTTAAATGTGTTTTTTGGATTCTAGATAATCCTGTTAATTGCTCAATGAATGAAACCCAGTCATGTTTCTCTCCCGCACAGTTACTTCATGTGTCTGCCGTCCTGAGCCATGTCTGTGTGCTCAGCCCTACTGACCCGCCATGTAGCTGGAGGCTGCTGCAGGGGGTTGTGTGGTGTTCCTCCACCGCTGGTCCACATCAGATTAGCCAGTGTAGCAGAGCCAGGCACTAGAGGAGCTGATGAAGAACAACTCTGGGATGCAGCGGGGTACCTTCAGTTCTCTAGAGCCAAAATAGGATCTTTCTTTCAGGAAAGACCAGTTCTGAAGAACCCATTTCTAGAGGATGCCTTGCTAAGAGGATACCTGAGGAGACACCTGCCCCAGGAGGTGAGGAGGGAGCACAGCTGCGCCATCAGCTGTGATGGAAATAAACTACACGTAAACTGAGGTCTTGTTCATAATCTGTGTAACTATGTATGTGTATACGCTTGTTCACAGGCAGCTTTATCCGACTTGCGTGCGTTTGGAGAGCGCGTGGCAAATGAGGTGGACGTCTGGGGTCGAGAGTGTGAGGTTACTCCTCCACGGTTGGAGCATTTTGACCCCTGGGGTCGCCGAGTGGACCACATCGTGACCTCCCCTGCCTGGAAACGCATGAAAGACCTGTCGGCACAGGAAGGGCTGGTTGCCATTGGCTATGAGAGGTCATTTGGGGAGTGGAGGTTAGGAGACAGAGTTATACTTCCTTTTACGGTTTCAGTCATATGTCATATTTTCGTTCAATAACACTTTTAGGAGTTTCTAATAGGATAAGTTGTTCTAAAGGAGAAACTAAGTGTAATTGTGTGGTGTGTGTGTGTGTGGGCGTGTGTGTGTGTGTTTTCCAGTCGTGTGTATCAAATGAGCAAGTTGTACATCTTCTCTCCGTCCTCTGGTCTCTACACCTGTCCTCTGGCCATGACCGACGGAGCTGCTAAAGTCATCCAGGTGTGTCAGAAAACTAACAAAAGACAACAGGAAGCCTGCGTTTCATGTTTTTACAAGAGCACGTTCTAACCCTAACGTGACGGAGACAGTAAAGGGTGCAGCAGGATGAGGTGAAAGGTCCTTTGTTTTAGCTATATCCGATTGGACTACGACTGAAATAAATGAGCCGTAAGCCTCATTTCCACAGCTGAACAGAGGACTGTTTGACTGTTGTTGTTTTTAGCTTATTAACATAGCGTTTCATTATTTGGCTGTATATGTAAAGTCCATAGGTGTTTCATGGCCAGTAGACGAAGCCTACAGCCGCCTGACCACCCGTCATCCTGAGCATTTCTGGACATCTGGACAGTGGATGACCGAAAGACAGGGAGGATCTGACGTGGGTCAGTAGTGACGCTCCCAGTTGTCTTGCATTAACCAGTATCAGCTTCACCTAACAGGTTACAGTGCATCATCGATCACCGTCTGTATTTGAAAGAGTTGTGAAAGTTGTTTCGGTGTCATAAAGAAAAACTTCAGAAATTGTTATTTATGTTCCAGCATTTATGTTCTTAATTGTTGTTATTTGAAGTATCTGTTGAGGAAATGTGATTCAATGCTTGAATTAAATACAAGACTTGACTATTGCGTCATGAGTTGCCTCTCCCTGTCTTGCATCCCCTCAGCCAGTGGCACAGAGACGGTGGCTGTTCCCCAGACAGACGGTTCGTACAAACTACACGGCTTCAAGTGGTTCACCTCTGCTACAGACGCAGACATGACTCTTACGCTGGCCAGAGTGCAGGACAGAACCGGAACAACCACACCGGTGCTGCAGACATCCGATAGCATCGCTCCTCTTGAATGACTTACAAAGTGGTTTCACTGTACTGAATGTGTGCTTGTCTCTCTCCCACAGGGCAGCAGGGGTTTGTCTTTGTTCTATGCAGAGGTGAGTAGAGATGAGGATGGCCGGCTGAAGGGTATAGAGGTTCAGAGACTGAAGGACAAGCTGGGCACAAGACAGATGCCAACTGCTGAGTTGCTGCTGGACGGCCTGCCGGCACACAGGGTCAGTTACACATCATCGGTTATTGAAGCATTTAAAAACTGTAGATTCCATCTATGGTCTATGCAGATATGATTGATACCTGTGAAGTCACACCGGGTTCAGGCACAGCTCACTTTGTTTATACTAAAGCACGTTTTTTTTCATGCTCCATTACAAATACTATTTATATTTGGAAATACAACACTACATAAGAAGGAAACTAGACACCATTGAAATGCCTTTTACTTGTGATTTAATCCTTTTATTTGAGGCAATGCCAGCTGATTTGTTTTGGCATTAAGTGAACGTCAATGTCTTTTTTCCCTCTCTTCATTTACAGCTGTCAGAGAAAGGGAGAGGTGTGGCCTCCATAGCAAACATGCTGACCATAACCCGGATACACAACAGCGTCTCTGCAGCAGCTGCGATGAGAAGGTGGGATACTGCTCGTACCACCGCACTGAATCCTGCACTCATTTCTAAAAACATGCTATAAATGGGCTGATTAATTATCCGTGTGTTTGTGTGTGTTCACAGGGTGGTCCAGTTAGCTCGTGACTATGCCACTCGCCGCACTGCCTTTGGAAAGCATCTTAAAGACCACCCGCTGCACATACAGACTCTCGCTAGGATGGAGGTGAGCTGGTGAGGGGCTGAACAAATTACACAAACTCTACGCAAAGTTTCCCATCATGCCTCACTCATGCTTGCTTCTAAAATGGACAGGTGGAGACTCGTGGAGCTTTCCTTCTGGTGATGGATGTGTGTCGTCTTTTGGGCCGAGAAGAAAGCGGCATGGCGACCCAGCATGACGCACACATGCTGCGTTTGCTCACTCCTGTGGCCAAACTGTACACTGGGAAGCAGGTGACCAGCTTGTGCAAATGTGTTGGTAAACTCTCTGTTTTGATGGCAACCTCACTGTCTGTTGTGTTTTGTGTCAGGCGGTGGCTGTGGTGTCGGAGGGTTTGGAAAGCTTCGGTGGACAGGGCTACATTGAGGATACAGGGTTGCCTGGACTACTTCGGGATGCACAGGTAAGGTCAATACATACAAACCTACAGTGTCAAACAGTTTTTGCAATACTGAAGCTTACCTGTCTCTTTACTCTCTCAGGTTTTGAGTATATGGGAAGGAACCACAAATGTTCTGTCTCTGGACGTGCTGCGCTGTGTGGCTCGTAGCTCAGGAATGGTTCTTCACGCTTACTTCACCCATGCCAAGGTACAGAGTCAGGGAATAATCCTGTCAAACGACTTCAGTCACTAATCTGTGACAGAGTTGAACAGGAATGTGATATGCACTTGTTTTCTTCTCCTTGTAGTCCCTGCTTGCAGGTGCATCAAGTGTTTCCACATTGGCGCCGGCGGTGAGAGCAGTAGACGGTGCTCTCTCTGAACTGGAGGACTTTGTTCAGGTAGCAGCTACAAGAGCGCCTGGCTACCTAGAACTAGCAGCCAGAGACCTGGCCTACAGCCTGGCTCGCATCTACACGGGTAGCTACCACGATCACACATACACTCTTCTCCCTTAAAAGAGCACATCGCCCATTTATCTTTGTACTGCTGTAACATTATCAGACTCTAAATTAACAGTCAAATTAAATCAAAATGTAATCGACGGAGCAGAACCAGAAATGATTCCATTCATTCTTCTTTCCTTTCAAAACCTGGCGCCTACATTACCCACAAGGCAACTCCACCACTAACAGTTTGGTCACAGATTTGGTTGCATTATGTTAGTAGCTGCTGCTTTAGCCTCGAGCTGCTAGCCTCGAGCAGAGATGCGTCTGGTACACTCACTTCTTTCTAACTCCACTTGTAGTGTTTGGACTCAAGTGACATGACTTGAGGCCATTTATAAGACTTCACACAGCTCCTCCCAAAGCCACAAAAGGCTTCATATTTTTTTCTTCTTCTTTTTTGTTTTTTACACACATGCACTAGTGCTCCCCATGCCCTGTAAACAGACTTTGATATGTAAAATCGGAGGAGTTCCCCTTTAACATGATGGATGTTTACAGGTGCCCTTCTCATTGACCATGCATGTTGGGAGGGAGCCTCTTCATCTGACACCTATGCAGCGCTCAGGTAAAACAAAAACAAAAAATCAAAGGAAAGTTACATTAACACTTCTTTTAGGTAAAAAAAAAAAAGACAAACACAATTTTTATTTTCCTTTTATCAGGTGGTGTGAACACGACTTGTGCCCTGTGACGACTAAACAGGCGAGAGGCTGCTATGAGCTCAGCACAGCGCCACTTGATGCTGCACTTGTGTATGACTGGCCCATCCAAGGTTGAAGCTTCACTGATAACTGATTAACCTCACCGTAGTTCTGAGACCATGTTTTACAACAAATAACAAATAAAAAACACTTCTGTAACAGCACAGAAATCAAACTGAAAAATGAGTATCTAATAAAATATAGTCCTGTCTAATGTGATTTTGGTATTTACTTCTGTATATGAAGTATCTGCAATATCTATTTTTGTCTGATTTATAGTTTACACAGTGTGAAGTGGATGAATTAAACATGGCCCCAGACTTTTCACTTTCAAAGTCATAACTACTCCTGCATTAATTACACTTTTAGGGCAAGATTAAGCAAAGATCAATGAACCACAAATTAACTAGAGCACAGGTCAGAAGTACAGGAACAGGAGGGAGTTTTACATACAGTACATGATGCATTATTTGCTATTGGAAAAAATCAATGTGTGAATTCCTATCCTATAGGAGTATGGTACATGAGAGTATCTTTTAGTAGTATCTATTAAAAAAGATATGAACTTTGCAGTTTTACACAATTGATACATCAGCTAATTATTTTAAATGGCACTATGATTTATTATATTGTTAGTTCACTGTATTGTTGTACTCTGCCAAATTATATCTGAAATGAAATAAGGGCAAAGCATGCCAACACTGCTAAAAAGTGATGTACAGCAGCTTTTTTTGGAAATATATTAATAAAGAATCTATACAATATTCACTCGATTATTTTTTGTTTTTTGTTTGTCTTATATTTCAGTATCCTCTTTGGAGTCTTGAGTTTACGAGGAGTCCGTGAATGCGGCGCGCGTTGGTTGGAAAAACAGTAGGTGGGGTTTCAGGCGAGAACGTACAACATGTACACGGACATTGAAACTGGGCGAGCAGTCTTTAAAGAGACGCAAAGAAACAAACCATGAAGCTACAGCCACAATAACGACGTGGATTTTAAGGGTTTTTATTCCGGTTTTTTTACGGTTTCCTTTAAACTGAACGGTCCGGGTTGCAGGAGTAAAACAACCCACCACGGTCCCGTCCACCAGAATGAACGCGTCTCCAGGATAAAGTGAACCATGTCTCCTGTTGTTTACCTGTCTCTTCTGCTGGTGTGGTCGTGTCACCAGCAGGTCACCTCGGGCTCCCATGTCCGCAGGAAGCAGCCTGTTGTTGGATTAACCGGGCGATCTTCTTCAAACAACACACAAACCATGATGTTTCAAGGCAGCAACGATGAGGTCGGTGATGTTCGACAACTACCACATTTACATGTCGGCTGTCATTCGTGTGAAAGCGGGCTATCGTGTTGTCATGTGTGTGTATGTGTGCTAACTGTTGACTGGTTTAAAATGTGTGTGCAGTTTGATTTGAAGCTGGCAGGTTGTCAGCTGGTTTTTCCGGCTGTCACGTGATGACAGCAAGCGATAAATTAAGTTGTGCTGCTCTATTAAATGAGACACGCGCATGTTCACATCAGGGCAGATGTTTGGATTCTCTAGATCCAGGTGGATAGATATAAGTGTATTGTTATACTGGGAGAGATGCACAGTGTGATAGTGGGACTGAAGATGATGTAACTAGTTCCTCCTTTTTAAAAAACAAAACAAAATCCAGTATCAATACAAATACAAAAAATCAATAAAGAAAATAAATTCCTCTCACAATTTAAGGGACCTCAACAACACTGGACTACAAACCAGGCCAACGGTCTAGCAGTTAGTTTGTGGTCATTTGATTGACTGCACATTTGGTAATATGCACCACTAAAGCAACATGAGCTGAAATGAAAAACAAACCTAAAGACTCTTTCTTTACGACTTATTGTTTCTAAATGTAGCAGTTGAGTCAGTTCAGCACATTTGATCAAATTCATTTGGATATTCTTGCAATTTTTGTGTTGTATCCACAAATCTACATGCACTGGTTTGGATGTCCTATAGAGCAGCCTTGACTTTAAGTCTATTTTAAAGATGTATTGATGGTGTTTTATTATGTTGTTGTGTTTCTGATGATGTAAAACATTAGAGCAGCTATTTAAAGCAGTCCAGTTCAACACCACTGCAAACTATAATCAACAAATGAATACCTCTCTGCCAGCCTGAATCCAAATTAAACATGATTATCTTTGTGAAGGTAGAATTCATGGCTGAGCTGTTACAGAGGTACCTGATAGTAAAGTTACCACTGAGTGTTTACACCGTGACACCATGTTTATTGGTCATTGTGGAAGCAATGTCTTCAGTACATCTTGGTATATAAGATCATTGTAAGCAATGTTGTACGACTGCTTTATAGCAATATTGGATACCCCTCAATACTTTTAATGTTTGATTGAAATACTGCAACGGCTTGGTTTCTTGGCTTCTGGGCAAAATATTAGAAAGCTGCCACATGTAGCCTGTAGTGTGTGTTGTACTTGAACGGTGCTTAACACAACAAGGTAAACACAATGAAAGAAGGGAGAACTGGCGCCCAGTGAGGAATGTGTCCCTGCTGCATACTAAAGCTTTAATCTGGCCCTGCTCTTTCACAACACTTTGAGTTTAAGAATATTCAACAATAAAGTATTTGTTGTATTCATCTTGATTTTTACCTTGTCAAATTTGTTTTAAAACAATTATAATTTGAGACATTCACACATGTCAGCATTAAAACACTGCTATCTTTCTTTTTTTCTTTCTTTCTTTGTGTGTGTTCAGTGCGACCTTGTGATGAACCTCAGTGCTGCAGACCGATGTGCATTTGTGAAGAACACACTGGACTGTAACATGGAAGATGGCTTCATCAACTACCTTCATGTGGCCTTCTGTCTGCTTCCTCCCAACCTCACACCTCTCACCATGACTCTCTGTGTAAGACCTGTGTGTGTGTAAGACCTGTGTGTGTGTGTGTGTGTGGACAGCGTGAAACTGCAGATCAGCACCAGCTGATCTTTTGAGGAAGATGACTTTGCTGCAGGAGAATCAGGACTTATCAAATATGTGAATCTCCGCGCTCAGTCATTTCACTTTTTGCTAAATAAAGAATTTTTGTAAGAATGTACAACTTCCTGAATTTCCCTCTTTGCAACATAACAAATCAAACTGTGACACAGAAAATAGCATTAAACACGTTGTGGGGGATTAGGAACAATAGGATCAGTGTGGTCAAACAAGGCCATGTTTATCGGGGTCAACTTGACCAACCAAGTAAGTTTAAAGAACATGTATCTGCGTACGACTCAAGCTGAACTTCTGTCTTCTCCGAGTGTGTGTTAAGAAAACCTTTCTCACCTTAACTTTGTTCTGCTTCTCCACAGATCATATGGCTGCTCTTTCTGTTTATCATTCTCGGACTCACAGCGTCTAAGTTGTAAGTGTCTCTCGTGTTGCCAGTGTCAAAATGTGCGTCCCACAAGTTCCCCTTTATGTGTGTCATGCCAGCAAGCCCAAATCACTAATTTTCATTGATTCGATTCAGCTGTGGAGTGTGTTACGGTACGATGACAAGCCCACATGTGCAGACTACACACACGATCATGCCCTCAGTGCGGTCAGCTAAATAGTCACATGAAGCAGAGTCACATGACTGGAGAGTTTTTCGTTATTGTTGCGCTTGAGTTGTGAGATTGTGAGATTTCCTCAAAGGAAGGACAGTTTGTTCTGCTCTTTTACCCTCAACCACTACCCAACCTACTACACCAGCTGAATGGTAAAGAAGCTGCAGGATTTTATATTTCTGTATACTGTTTTATATAAAGAGAGATGTTTTTCATTGCTCTTTGCTTTTTACATGAGCATACTCACTTTTTTCCCACTTTTTCTCCCCAGTTTCTGTCCCAACCTGTCAGCCATCTCTACCAGTCTGCACCTCACTCACAATGTGGCTGTATCCTTTATCTACATGCGCTGTGCGTCCCTGACTCTGTGATATTTATGTACGTAAAGCAATCACAAAGTTCCTCCCTCTGAGGGATTTTTGCCATTTCCCTTTCGACGATGTTAGATCATTTTTTTTGTGAAGAACGTGTTCCTTGACTGGTGTTTGTGTTGAGGGTGTGACGTTTCTGGCTCTTGGTAATGGAGCTCCTGACGTCTTCAGTGCCATCGCAGCTTTCTCCCACCCACACACCGCTGGGCTGGCTGTCGGAGCCTTGTTTGGTAGGCACAGTCTCACACACACACACAGACCCGCCATGAACACCTCAAGCTTTTTAATATGAAAACCTGGTTGCCCTTTCTCCTAATCATGTTCTATCTCTGTCTCCCTCCCTCTGAACACAGGAGCTGGTATATTTGTCACCACAGTAGTTGCAGGCAGCGTGGCGCTGGTGAAGCCTTTCGCTGTGGCCTCCCGTCCATTTCTGCGTGACGTCATCTTCTACATGGTGGCAGTGTTTTGGACTTTCCTCATGTTGTACAGACGAACCACGACACTTGGAGAAATACTGGGTATATCTATAGATCTGGCATGTATTCCTTGATTTTGTACGACTTAAATAATTGAAAATGCCATTTTTTTTTTTTACTTACTTGGGAATGTAGAGGACTTTGCAGCCTTGCATGTCGGTGTATGTCTAAGCGCTTTCTTGTTTTGGTGCTAACATCTACGGCCTAAAGCTGCAATCTCATCTATTTTCTGACCAAAATCAATCCCAGAATGCAGTTCAAAGAATCACAGCCATGCTATTCTGTGAATCACCTACTCTCTGGCACATTTTTTAATATTTCCGTACAAACTGTACTGTATACTGTAGGACATAATGTGTATGTATAAAGTTTTAAGAGCAGTTTTACTCCAAGCTCTCAGTACTTTACACACACACACACTGAGACATTTTTAGCTTCACTGTGTTTCATTTTTCTTTTTCTAGGGTACCTAGGTCTCTATGTGGTGTATGTATTGACTGTTATTATCAGTGCGTACATCTACAACCGGCAGAAACATTCGAGGACTTCCAGTGTCCGGAGCGCTGCACATAATCCAGGTTAGAAACACTAAAACGTGTACACACAGAAAAATAGAAAATACAAATGTCCTAATTGCCAGGCGTGATATTTTTGTCTTCGCACCAGAGCTTCACTCGTCCGAATCATCGGATGATGAAGACGTCCCCTGCCCGACTGGAGGGAGCATCCAACAGGAGTATGGTGGGAATGCAGCAGCCTTCTATTTACCACTATATAAGTTAATAAACAGCAGGATTTTTCTGCATGATCAGGACCATAACATACACGTGTGTGTGTGTGTGTGTGTGTGTGTGTGTTTCAGAGTCAGAGTACAGGCCACTTCTACCTTACTCTGAGTCCACAAGTCAGATCCTGCTAAACTCTCTGAACCCGGTGGACAACAGGAAGTGGAGGAGGAAATCATGGAGCTGGAGAGTACTCAAAGTACTGAAGGTGTGTGTGTGTGTGTGTGTGTGTGTGTGTGTGTGTGTGTGTGTGTGTGTGAGAAGTTAAACAGATCCAAGGGGGCAGTGGAAAAAGCTCGATGTCTGAATGAATCTGATTGGTACACCAAGTCAAAAGAGTGACAAGCTTTTTTAAACTCTCCTGAAACCCATCAGACACCTCTAGAGTTCCTGCTGCTGCTCTGCATCCCTGTGGTCGACCCTGATAAAGAAGACAGGAACTGGAGACGCCCACTGAACTGTTGTCATCTGATCACTGCTCCTCTGGTGTGTGTGCTCACCTTTCGGTCAGGAATATGTAAGTGCAGCATGGCATACTGCAGCAGCCATAATCAGGTTAAGTAAATGGTTAAAACATCACCCTGCTTTGTTGTTTTTTTAATCTCCATCTTTTTTTTTTCCTTAACCAATGTCTAGATGGAAATTATATCATCCAAGGGCAGTTTCCCCTCTGGCTGCTGATGCTTCTGCTGGGACTTTTCCTGTCTGCTATTGTGTTCTGCACTACCACTAATGACTCTCCTCCCAGATATCATCCAGTAAGTATTTGTGTATATTAAAAGAACTAAGTATTGGGCAAATAGAGAATATGACTGATGTGGGTGCTGGAGGAAAAGTCAGAGGATCACCAAAGTGGGATTCATCCTCTGAGGACCAAAAATGTCTTTTTTTAAGGCAATCACTCCAATACTTATTGAGATATTTCAGTCTGGACCAAACTGGTAGACTCCCTACAGCCTGAAAAATATTTACTGTATATATTAGTCATGCTCGCTGCTGATTCTAAATGTGTCTTTTCCCCTCTCCAGCTGTTTGCTCTGTTGGGCTTTGTGGTGAGTGCAGTGTTGATCAGTGCAGCGGCCTCTGAAGTGGTCAGTCTTCTGCACATGCTCGGCGTGGTGCTGCGTCTCAGCAACACTGTGCTGGGGCTGACTTTGTTGGCCTGGGGCAACAGCATAGGAGGTGATATTTGTGAACCTGATTCCTTTAAAAAAAACAACCATATACCACTACAGACCATCTCGCAATGGGTAGACTATTATGTATGTCATAAAAGGTCAAAGTATGGTATGTAAAGAAGTCATAAAATAGTCAGTATATGTAGTAAAAAGTCACAGTATAGTGTAGCATAAAAAGTCCTAGTTAGGTTGTTAGGAAAGTCATAAAAACATAGTATGTCAATAAGTCATAATGTAATATGTTGTAAAATGTTCCAAGAAAAGTCATAGTACAGTATATCAAACAAAGTCATAGTATATGTCGAAGAAAGTCACAAAAAAATCAGTGTAGTATTTCAACAAAACAAGTGCCAAATAGTCATAATATAGTGTGACGAAAAAAAGACCAAAAGTAAAACAGTCATACTATGGCATGTCAGAAATGTCATTAAAAAGCCATAATATATTATATCGAAAGTCACAATAAGTCATAGTTTAGTAATTTTTTTAAAAAGTCACAGTATAGTATGTCAAAAATCATTAGTATGTCAAAAAAGTCACCAAAAAGTCATAGTATAGTATGTCGAATGAAATCATAGTATGTCATAGTTTAGTATTTTTTTTTTTTTTTTAAAGAAAGTTATAGTATATTATGTCTTAGTATTATTAAGCATGTTGAAAAAAGTCACAAAAATTCACTTAAAAGTCATAGTATAGTATTTCGTAAAAAAATAAAAAGTCATATCAAACAAAATCATATATATCGAAGAAAGTTTAATTCTTTTTTTTAAGTCACAGTATAGATTGTCAAAAAAGTCACAAAAAAGTATTGTATGTTGAGAAATCATAAAAGTCAGTACAGTAATGCTTGTAATTGAATATCTCTGCACATCTCTTTTTCAGACTGTTTCTCTGACATCACCATAGCCCGGCAGGGTTACCCACGAATGGCCATATCTGCCTGCTTTGGAGGCATCATTTTCAGTATCCTTATTTTCATAAGAGAACATGTTTCAGTACAAAAACAATTTAAGACATGTAAAACAGTGGCAGTTATTGAATTGTCCTTGACTGCATTTTCTTTAGACATGCTGTTTGGAGTGGGTATAGGATGTCTGGTGCAGATGGTTAGCACACACTCTGATGTGCAGGTAAGTCTTCTCCAATACACAGATCAAGAGTTCAATATTCTGGTTAAAGGTTCAGAGAAGTGGCAAATACACAACTGTTTTGAAACCCATGAACATTGACGCATCTTTGTCTCTTTCTCCTCCTCAGTTTGAATCGGAGGGTTTGCTGATGTGGGTTCTTGCAGGATCTCTGGGTTTGTCTTTGGTCCTGTCCTTCGTCATTGTTCCACTGTGCCGGTTCCACTTGGATCGGCGATATGGGATCTTCCTCCTCGTCTTCTACGCCATCTTCCTTCTCATTGCACTGCTCACGGAGTTTGGTCAGATCCACTTTGTGTAGATTCGAATCTCAGGCCCGTCTGAGATGAAGGACGTCCTCTTATGAAGCAAAATGACACAGTGGAACTTCACCCTCCTCTATGCATAATTTTAATACACTATTTATACAACAATCAACAGCACTTTGTGCACTTGCCTTTTAGCAAAGGCCATCCGAAACCAAGCAGGCAAATGAATGACGACCAGACTTTTCTGCTCAGGGAGAGCTAAAACCTTTACACTGTGCCTTCATTCAACTTCTTCTTCTTTGTGATGACTGGAGCTGACATGGCACTTTGTGACGAAATGTATACTTTTAAACATTGTGAATGAACTAAATGTACTGTAAAACATGTTAAAATGACCTTGTACAAAGCTGCTTCTAAAGGCATTAAATCATTTTGGTATTTGTTTTTACAGGTCGTGGTGATGGTATGCTGGTCTGTGTTGAATGATACATTGTGAATAAGCAGTTACCTGCAGTATGACGGTACAGCAAAAACACATATATGCACTTGACAATTCAAAAAGTTTATTAGAATCCCTTCTTAACTCACCGGAATACATTACAGAATAAGAAATTATATAAAAGTGAAATACTTCGAGTCTGTTGAGACATTCGTTAGGAGATGCACTGTAATCGTTTTGTTGGGTTGAGCTAAAAGGAGTGTAAGTGTTTCTACTTTTGGTTTTAGATAACTTAGATGTAGTGTTTGTTAATACTAATCAGAGGAGCCGATCAACTAAGGCATCAGGTTAAAGTACTACAAGTTTTACAGGAGGTCACAAAAGGCCTACAGCAGAATACATACACAACATACTGTAGTAGTAGTAGTAGTACAGGCTCCCAAGTAATATTGGCCCAAAAAAAGCTTAGCTTCACTGGTTCGAGCGACAGACCTGCACTGCAGTCCTAATGTCTGTTGAGAAGGTTCCAGGAGGGAGTCATCAACTCCTCTCACGTTCTCCCGGACTAGTTTTCCTCAGTGGTAAACTTGGAGCGTGGGGAAGACCTGGAGTAATGGGGTTTATTTGCATTTAAAAACGCTGAGATGTTGATGGGCAAGTACCGCTTGCACTCTGTGTGTTAGTTGACACTGTGAGGTCCAGTCTGTGAGTTGAGCTGAGGCTCTGGGAAGGAAGACGGGTCAGAGACCGGACCGTCCAGATCCTGCTCCAGGCTTTGGTCTTGCTCCGGCAGGTTTTCCCTTGAATACTCTGTATACCACTCGAGCTGAAACGAGACGTAGAGAAAGTGAGGAGGTTACGATCGACCAACAACCGACACGGTACTCAAAATAATGTCTGAAGTTTCTTACCTGTATCTCCTCCTCGTACATCTTCATGCTGAGGTCACTCTTCGTCCTAGACCTGCGACCTAAGTACACCAGAGATGGGTGCTGTACACACCAAAGCACAAGGGAAAGGGGATTAGTGAGATTTCATGTCAAGAGCAGAGGAATAAGAGTTTATTGTCTGTGTGTTGTCTTACCCCTCCCCTGTCCATAGTCTGTAGGACTCCCTGTAAAGAGCTGAGAGAAGACAGTCCTGGGCAGGTCTGTTTGTACAGCTCCAGAGTGGCCAGAGCTTCATCCCGACTCACCTCTACTTCAAACACTATCCCGTTCTCATCTAGACACATGCAGACATTAGAACGACTCACTGAACAGCCAATTTAAACTTCACACAGCACTGGCAGCTAAATAATAATCAAATAATCATTTTATCTGAGTGTCTGTTCTAGAAATACTGCAGAGATTTAAGAATTCATAAAGGCTTTTGTTCTGACGAGCTATACATTCTGTAAATGTATGCACAATACACACACACACACCCTCTGGGTTTTCCACTGGTTCCCGGTTCTTGCGGCTGTAGTTCATGCGGAACACAAAAGCATCCAGAATGAACGCCACAATGATGGTCATCACCACCTGGAGAGATCACATATCACACACATGCACAGTAACATTAACAACATTAATGCACAGATTGAAGCAGAAATGCAGCGCATACTTCAAGAGACACATCAACAACACACATGGCCTCACCATGGTGACGATGTAAAAGGTCATGAAGTAGAGCCGGCTCCAGTGGGTCGTCATGGAAGTTACCCCTTCCTGAAGGACAGTAAACACAGCATCAGTGAAACAGCAACATACCACGGATAAATGCAGTGACTGATGAAAGACGAGGGATATGTGACTCTTACCATGGTAATGTACCAGTTATTGACCACAGTCAGTTCAAACAGAGTCACTGGGGGTAAAAAGGAAGAGAAATGAACACTCAAAACAACAACGACCAGCTATTAAGGTAATATAATAGCTATTAAGGTAATAGCTGGTCATGGCCCTCTGTGGTAGTTCCTGCTGGAGAAGATGTAGTAGCGAGTCTCCAGGACCACATTTTGCCTTAATGACTCAAAAACGGACTCATAACAACTCAATGTGGTGGGCTGGTAATGTACAGTATGTCATAAAAAGTCATGGAATAGAATGTTGGAAATAGTCCCAAAAAAGGACAAAATAAATCAATAGTATAGTATGTGAAAAAAAGAAGAGAAAAGGGTAATAGTTCATCGTCAGGAAAAGTCATACTATAGTCATAAAAGTATAGCAATTCATCAAAGTCATAAAAAAGTTATAGTATGTCTTTAAAAAGTCACAAAAAATCACAACATAGTATTACGAAAAAAGTCAAATGATTCAAAGTAAAGTATGTTGAATAAATTCAGAATATTGTATGTCGAAAAAAATTGAAAAATGTAATAATACAGTAGGTTCTATATAATAGTTCATTATGTCAGAAAAAGTCCCCCCCCCCCAAAAAAAGTAAAGTGTTGCATAGTACAGTAGGTCATAAAGTCATAAAAAAGTGAGACTATAGTACATTAAAAAGTCCAAGAAGTAATAATACAGTATGATTTAAAAGTCATTGAAAAGTAATAGTATAAAATGTAAAAAAAAAAAAGAGTCATAGTATTGTATGTCGAATAAAGTCATAGTATAATATGTGAAAAAAGTAGAAAGAAAGGTAATGGTTAATTGTCAGAAAAAGTCATACTATAGTCATACTAAAAGTATAGCAATTCATTAAAAGTCATAAACATTATAGTATGTCCAAAAATTAAATAATAAAAGGTAATAGTTCAATATGTAAAAAAGGCCGTAGTATAGTATGTCAAAAAAAAGTAAGTTCTAGCATAGTATGCTGAAAAGTGACAAAATGTTAAATAAATTCATAGTATGGCAAAAAAAGTGAAAAAAAGGTAATAGTTCATTATGTCAGAAAATGTCATACTACAGTAGTAAGTATAGCAATTCATTACAAGTTATATGAACGTCATAGTATAGTATGTCTAAAAAGTCTAAAAAAAGGTTAGTTTAATATGTCATAAAAGGTGATAAACCTTTATATAGTATGTCTAAAAAGTCACAAAAAAGTAAGAGAATATGTCAAAAAAAGTTAGTGTAGTATGCTGAAAAAGTCACAAAAAAATGATGAATGTCATAGTTTAGTATGTCAAAGTAAAAAAATTCATAGTATACTATGTACAAAGAAAATTCAAAAAAATTATAGTACAGTATTACTTTTTTATGACTTTTTAGGTAATAGTATAACATGTCATCAAAAGTCCTAAAAATGTCATAGTATAGTATTACATAAAGTCATAATAATTTTTTCTGACCACGCCCATCTTTGAACTCAATCTTCATTTGACCTACACAACTGTAAAGTTCCCTCACTGCAGCATCTTCAGGACCACATATGCCATGATGACTCACACACCGACTACCAAGATGACTCACACACCGACTACCAAGATGAAAACAACACACGGCTGGTAATAAGTGGAAATTATTCAGGCTCTCTTTAAATGAAACTATATATTTGAGACCTGTTTTACGTCTTCAGTAAGAACAAATGAGCTGCTGAGAACCACAGACAAGCTCAGGAAGTTGGAACTTACTGAGATACCGACTAACACATATTAGGTTTTGGTCTCTTCATGGGATTGGTTGACAAAGCAACAATATAGAATATTTCCTGCCATATATTTAAAAGAAAAGATTTGAGTAATTACCAAAGCTGCTGAGAATGTTGTTGAAGTTGTTGAGATAATAGTAGCCTTCTTCCAACACCGTTTTGTTGCCAATGGTGACGTTGATCTGTCTGTAGGAGTCCGACACTGTACTGGTGCTGAGAATGAGAAGAAGATAGAGTTCAGGGAACATAATTTATCATCTTGTGCCCAAGCTATAAGAAATTGCAGAGGACCAGAGTTAATGAGTTAATGAATACTGAAGAGAATACAAAAAGAAAATGTAATTGCTTGACTCACTTGCAGCAGTTGGGATAAACCACATCTGCAAAAAACTCCATCCCAACAATTGCAAAGGAGTAGTAGAAGATGATTAACGTCAACCCCAGACTTGCCATCCTGGGGAAGAGCTCAAACATGGTGTCCAACACGTTACGATATCGCTGCTTTATCTTAAACAACCTGTGAAAGACAATAGATCACAATTTTAACTTCAAAAGTCAAATATAAGTACACGTACATTATTAAGAGTAAGAAATGACAGTGTACCGGAGCAGCTGAAGTGGTCTGAGCACCACGATAAAGTAGAACGGCTCCATATCGAAGGCAAGAGCAATCAGGCCCAGGAAGGCAAACACCGTCACTGTGAAATCAAACCTGGACAGACAAGCACAGTGAACATGAACACCCAAAACAGAACCAGCCTTTGGTACATGTTGAAATTAATGTTAGTTGTAGTTGAAGTTTTCACAAAATAGCCACATTAAAGCTAGGGTTGGTAATCTTGACAAACTAGCAAGAAAAGGACGATAAAAATAGCTTCAGCTCCAAACGTTGCTAAATCTAGCGAGAGAGTCGCCAAGTCGGCAACAATGACAGCCGACTATCATAATGAACGTAAACAAAAAACATGGCTGTTAGTTCTCACAGCTGTTAATAGCAGCTTGTGGAAGACCCATGAGGAGCAATGAGTGAACGGGCAAAGTGCGTGCAGGCAGGCGGACAGCTCGGTAAGCTAGCACGCTAGCAGGACAGTAATAATCCCGTTCAATCATTTCAAATGCAAAGATGTGACGGGCTTTTTACAGTCCGTCTGCAGCCACAGGTACTGGATTTATTTTCTTTTTGTCAGAGCATTTGTTTCATCGATTGCTATCAGGATGTCACGGGAATTTCAACGAAAATATCATGAATGTTTTTGAAGAAGATTACCAACCCTGCCTTTAGGACTAGAGTACTGAATCCAAACGCACAGACTGGAACAGGGTCTATGGATACATGCAGTCTGATGTTCACTGTGTGCTCCACTACAAGTCTGACGTTTTGATTTCAGTACTCATTCAATATGTCAATCAATCAACTCAGGATCCAAGTT